AGCCCTACAACATTCAATAGACTCCTGTGAACCCAGGTGGAGACCTAGTTGACCAGCAGTGTGGCAAGACCTGGGGACTCTTGGGCCCAGAGTCAGTGACATAGCCACAGAGGACTAGAATGGAGAGTGAAGCGTCCAGCTGATAAAGAAGAGGGGGAGTGGCTGGGGACTCTAGATTCATGGGAAGACAGGGACTAAGAACTGGTGGCCAGGAGGCAGACTTGCAAAATGTGCCCTTTGGAGATGTAAATTATTATATATGCCCGAGTGTTTTGTTTTGTTTTTTAAAAAGCTAAAGTGGATATACAGAAACACTGTTAACTGATGGTACATGGAGGGGATTACAATCATTGTAATGGAACAAGGTGTATGATTTGTTGAATGTAAAACTGATGATCTGCCCTGTAAAGTTTCACTGAATCCACAATAAAAAAACTTTAAAAAAAAAAAAGAAGTAATTGGGTTACAAGCTTTCAAGAGGGAGCCTAGACCCAGATGGGGCAGAGGAAGGTAGACTCTCCACTGAGTAGTATCCAATCTGTCTAGGTGGGGCTGATGAAAGGAGATGGGGATAGGTCTCTTGTGGCACAACATTGAATAATTGTTATTAGGACTGACTGTGAGGGTTGCGGTCCAAGAGCGGAGGTCCCTGGGACCATCAAGGAAGAAGAGCAGAGTGTGGGACCCTACCCAGAGAAGCAGTGACGCCCGATATGGAGGCAGAGACGATGACGTGGAGAGATGGAGTGGCTGGGGACTTTAGACCCAGAGAGGGAGAGGGGCTGTGTGCTGATGACCAAGGGGCATGCTTGCAGGGTATATCCTTTGGTTGGTTGATGATGCATGAAGGGGATTATAATCATGGCAATGAAACAATATACGATAGGATGAATGTAAAGCTAATGTTCTCTCATATAAACTATCTATCACATAATTCACAATAAAACATTTTAAAAAAATTAAGTGGTGATTAAAGCAAAAGGAGAAAAAAATGTTTACAATCTTCTGCTCAATTACTAGTAATATTGTTACTAATAAAGTTATAAACCAATGCAGAAAGATTTTTTAAAAAGTCATTATAACATACAATAAAAAATTCTACTTTGAAAAGAAAAAAAAAAGTTCCTAAAGCAAAAATTCTGCTTTAACATTGTGATGATATAATTTCAACTGTTTAAAAAAAAAATCTTAAACTAGTTATGTTCTGCGGCAGTCATCGGCTTTCTTAAAAATGCTTTAACATCAGGATAAGTTGAAAGCTGTATAATTCTAAGATCTGTATTTGGGCAAGTTGAAAAGACTACGATGAGGACAAGAGTGCTAAAAAACAGTAAGATCAAAAATGTAAGTGCACATGCCAGAGTGTCATCATTGCTGTAGTTGTTAAGTGACATCGAGACTCATAGTGAACCTCTGCACAACAGAACGAAACACTGCCTGGTCCTGCACCAATCCCAGGGTTGTTGCTATGTCTGTGCCAACCCATCTCGTTGGGGATCTTTCTCTTTTTCTCTGACCCTCCACTTAATGAATCATGATACCCTTCTCCAGGGACTAGTCCCACTCATATGTCCGAAGTATGAAGAGACAGTCTGGCCATCCTGGCGTCCAATGAGCATTTGGCTGCACTTCTTCCAACACAGATTGGTTTGTTCTTTTGGCAGTTCATGGTACTTTTTAAAAAATGTTTTACTGTAAATTATGTGATAGTTTACATGGGAGAACATTAGTTTTAGCCTACTGTATATCATTTCATTGCCATGGTTACAATCCCCTCCATGCACCATCAAACAACCAAAGGCTATATATACCCTACACACCTGCCCCCCGGTTGTCAGCACACAGTCTCTTCCTCTCTGTGTCTAAAGTCACCAGCTGCTCCATCTCTCCACGTCATCGTCTCTGCCTCCATTTTGGGCATCACTGCTTCTCTGGGTAGGGTCCCGCTCTCCACTCTTCACCCTTGATGGTCCCAGGGACCTCTGTTCCTAGACTGCAAAGTTATTCACTCCCCTCCTTGCTACAAAATGTCTACCTTAAGTTCATGGTACTTTTAATATTTTCCTTCAACACCTTAACTCAAATGTGTCAATTCTTCTGTAGTCTTCCTTATTCACTGTCCAACTTTCACATGCATATATTATTTCAAATACCATGAGTTGGGTCAAGCACACATTAGTCCTCAAACTGACATTTTTGCTCAACACTTTAAGGTGGTCTTGTGCAGCAGATTAGCTTAAAGCAATACGTGGTCTAAGGATTTCTTGACTGCTGCTTCCATGAGTGTTGATAGCTGATCCGAAGTACAATGAAGTATTTTGACAACTTCCATTTTCTCCATTTATGTGAATGTTGTTTATTGCTCCAGTGGTGAAGATTTTTGCTTTCTTTACTTTGATGTGCAATCCATACCAAAGGCTGTGGTAGTTAATCTTCATCACTAAGTATTTTAAGTATTCTTCACTTTTAGCAAGCAAGGCTGTATCATCTGAATATTACAGGTTGTTAATGAGTCTTCCTCCAATCTTGATGCCATGCTTTTCTTCATATGATTCAGCTTTTTGGAGTATTTGCTCAGCATACAGACTGGATAAGTACGGTGAAAGAATACAACCCTGTCACACACCTTTCCTAATTTTAAACCATTCAATGTTCCCTTGTTCTGCTCCAACAACTGTACAAGTTCCTCATGAGCACAAATAAGCATTCCAGAATACTCATTCTTTGCAATGTTGTCCATAGCTTGTCATAATCCACACAATCAAATCGTCTGCATAGTCAACAAAGCACAGGTAAACATCTTACTGGTATTCTCTTGCTTTCAGCCAAGACCCATCTGATGTCAACAATGGCATTCTACGTTCTATGTTCTCTACTGAATCTGGCTTGAACCTCTTGAAGTTTCCTGTCTGTTCCTGTCATGTATGGTTGCTACCTTTTTAAATTAATTTTAACAAAATTTTACTTGCATGTAATATTAATGATACTGTCCAATGAGTTTCACATTCTGTTGGGTCACCTCTCTTTGGAATGGGCACAAATACAGACCTCTTCCAGTCAGATGCCCAGGTAGTCGTTTTCCAAATTTCTTGGTGCAGATGAGTGAGTCCCTCCAGTGCCTCATCACTTTGTTGAAAGATTTCAATTTGTATTCCACCAATTCCTGGTACCTTGTTTTTTTTGCCAATGCCTTCAATGCACCTTGGTCCTTTTCCTTCAGTATCACTGGCTCTTGATCATGTACTACTTCTTGAAATGGCTGAATATCTACCCTATCATTTTGACACCCTGACTCTGTGTATTACACTTCCATCTGCATTTGATGCTTTCTGAATCATTCAATAAATCTGCCCACAGAATCCTTCAGTAATACAAGTCAAGGCTTCAATTTTTTCTTAAATTCTCTCAGCTTGAGAAATGCTGAGCGTGTTCTTCCCTTCTGGTTTCCTAACTCTCGGTCTCTGCACATTTTATTATAATACTTTGTCTTCTTGAGCTGCCCTTGGAAGTTTTGTGCTCAGCTCTTTTAGCTCATTTCTCCCATTTGCTTTAGCACTTCTATGCTGGAGAGCAAGTTTCAGAATCTCTTCTGACATCCGTTTTGGTCTTTTCCTTCTATATCTTCTTAATGACTTTTTGCTTTCTTACTGTATGATGTTCTTGATGTCATCCTACAACACTTCTGGCCTTCCGTCTTTAGTGTCTAATGCATTAAATCTGTTTTTCAGATGATCTCTAAATTCAGGTGGCGTATGTTCAAGATCACATTTTGGCTCTTGTGGACTTGTTTTCATTTTCTTCAGCTTCAGACTAAACTTGCATATTGATGGGTCTACTCCAGTCGGCCCAGGTCTTGTTTTGGCTGATGGTATTGAGCATTTCCACAGACATAGTCAATTTGATTTCTTCTTATTCCATCTGGTGAGGTCCATGTGTACAGTTGTCTTTCGTGTTATTTTAAAAAGGTATTTGCAATGAACAAGTCATTGCTCTTGCAAAATTCTATCATGTGATCTCCAGCATCATTTCCATTACTAAGCCTGTATTTCCCAAATACTGATCCCTTCCTCTTTGTTCCCAACCTTTGCATTCCAATTACCAGTAATTATCAATACATCCTGATTTCATGTTTGATCAATTTCACACTGAAGAAGTTATTAGAATTATTTAATTTCATTATCACTGGCTTTTGTGGTTGATGCGTAAATTTGAATAATAGTGGTATTAACTGGTCTTTCTTGTACGTGTATGGATATAATCTTATCACAGAGTTGTACTTCAAGACCCATCTTTTTGATGAATGCATCACCCTTCCTCTTTAATTTGTCATTCCCAGCATAGTAAACCATGTGGTTGTCGGATTCAGAATTGCCATTTCAGCAGTCCATTTCAGTTCACAAATGTCCAGGATATTGACGTGTATGTGTTCCATTTCATTTTTGACAATTTCCAATTTTCCTAGATTCATACTTTATACATTCCATGTTCCAATTATTAATGGATATTTATAGCTGTTTCCCTTAATTTTGAGTTGTGCTCCATCAGCCAGTGAAGGTCCCAAAGGCTTTACTCCATTCAGGGCATCCTGGTTCAACTCTATTCTGAGGCAGCTTCCCTCAAACTTGAGGGGCTCATCTTCCAGCACTATGTCTGACAATATTCTGGTGTTCTTCATCAATATTTTGATGCCGACAGTGTTCCACTGCTATTCATAAGATTTCCGTGACTAAATATTCAGAAGTAGTTCATCTCTCCTTCTTCCTAGTCTGTCTTCATCTGGAAGCTCAGTTGAAACCTGTCCACTGTGGATGACTCTGCTGGTATTTTAAATATCTGTGGCACAGCTTTCAGAATCACAGCAACATGCAAGCCACCACAGTATGACAAACTGACAGACAATCTCATAGTTTAGTGTGTCATCATAGTATCAATTTAAGGAACCCCTTTAAGACAGACAGTATCCAAAACCTGCACACAAATGCTCTTTGCATGAAGCTTACCTTCGATATAGTCCTCAGCAATGTAGCTGTGCTCGTGCAGGATCTCCTCCATGCGGCTGAGTGTGATAGCTGCCAGGTGCCCAGGGTACTTCAGCTGAAGGAGACGCTGGAGGTAGCCAGCTGCTTGGCTTCCTCCAAGATTGATGCGCTTGCAGTTTTTAGCATCTAACCTAAAATCCAGCAATAGAAATTAGCACTGAAATGTTTTGGCAAAACGGAAAAAAGGACATGGGATATCTTGGGAGAAAGGGATCATTTAATGTGGAGTAGAAGGAAAACACACAGATGGGATAACATAAAAACCTACAGTTTTAAGGTGTTGTAAAGATCCTTTGGTCCAACCTCTTACTCATGGCAGAAATTCCGAATCCATGTCGACAGATGCCTGGCCATCTAACTTCTGACCACAGACTCAAAAGGAAAGGAGAGTCAATATAAAGACTGTGTTCCGGGAGTGTAGCGCAAGATGGAGGAGCAAGCAGTTGCACTAAGCCGACCCTCTGAACAAAGACATGGGAGACCGAGTGAAACAGACACAAATGGTGATCCTGGAAGCCTAAGAATCAGAGGACAGGACAGAGATCTGGACTAGTCTCGACTGGAAGAAGCTGAACAGGGGCAGTGAGAGAGAAGCAAAATGGGTGGACTGAGGGCTGGCATGGTGCAGTGAGGCCATTTTGAGCTTTTGCAAACAGCTGCTAATATAGTGGCCTGCAGGCACAAGACGTAGCTGGAGTTTGGCAGCAAAGAGGTGCAGTTCTCCTGTGTTCCCAGTCCCTGCCTGGCCCACCCAACAGCCAATGGCAACCCCCTCCTGTGAAGCCTATGTTCTAACTGGGGTCAGTCAATGGGCGTAGCGCCCCTGCGAACCCACCATGCACTACACTACACAAACAGTGATCAAAGAATTAACTGCATTCACACTTTCGGTCTCTACCACCTCTTATCAGCAGACAGCCACTTGAGACTAATACATACTCCATTATCATCCAGACTCAACCCAGCACAGAAGTATGCAAAGTAAAACAGACTATTAAAACTGAAAAGAGAGAGCCAGAGACACAATTGTTACCAAGAAAAAAATTTAAAAAAAAGGGAATAATCCACCTACGTAACTTCCAGATGAAGAGGAAATCAAATAGATTTCAAGAAAAATGAAGAAAAGTAAGCACAAACCTAACTATAACCCTAAAAATTTGACCAAGCCTTACTCCTAGCCCTAGCTAACCCTCACTCACCCCTAAGACTAACCCTAACCATAACCCTAACACTAATTGAAATGCTAGGCCTAGCCAAGATCTAGCCATAGTCCCAACCCTAACCTTCTATTCTACTCACCTCCCCTAACCATCCCCTCAAAAAGAAAGAATATGTATCCCCGAATCAGGTCTTTATGTTTCTCCTTATATATTTCTCAAACTGTGGTCCTAGGGCCCAGTATCCCATAAGTATCTGGGAAAGTAACAATTCCCAGTGTGTTGGTCTGGATGGACCTGAGATTCCCCAGGTTTCCCAGGTTTAGGCCAGAGTTTGAGAGCTCCTCCCCGAGACACTTCCCTTCTACTAAGAAAAAACATTAAGTCACCCTACACACACTGGTTTACAGGGACCTCCTAAGAGTGCCAGACCCCTTCACAGTTTCACAGGAAGTGAAGAACTTTTTGTTATTGTTGTTGGATGCTGTCAAGTTGGTTCTGACTCAGTGATGCGTAAAGGGTTTCCAAGGAGAAGCTTATGGGTTTGAATGGCCAGCCATGCAGTTAGCAGTCCAGTGCTTATCCTACAGTGCTATACCAGGACTCCAGAAAAAGAACCAGAGTAACATTACTGTGAGAAAGAGTTAAGTTAACTCATTGTGACCCTGGATAGGGTTTCTGGGCAGCTGGTGGATTTGAATACTTGATCTTGTGGTTAGCAGTCTAGTTCTTACCCTATAGCGCCACAGTTCTTGTTGTTGTTAGGTGCTGTTGAGTCAGTTCTGACTCATAGCGACCCTGTACAGAGTTTTCAAGGAGCAGCTGGTGAGTTTGAACTGCCGACCTTGTGGTTCAAACCGACCTTGCAGTCTAATGCATTATCCCACAGTGACACTCCAAAACTCCACTGTACCACAGTAGCATGGTGGTGGTTATGTGCTGTGAAGTCGGTTCCGACTCATAGCGACCCTGTATAGGGTTTCTGAGGCTATAAATCTTTACAGGAGCAGAAAGCCTCATTTTTCTCCTGCGGAACAGCTGGTAGTTTTGAACTACTGACCTTGCGGTTCACAGCCCAAGTCATAACCACTACACTACCCGAGTTCCTTTTATGTCACTGCCATACAATACTTCACCAGTAGATGCCAGCAGAGAACAGGATATGCTAAAATCTGCTAATTTCTGAGATTTCTGGTAAAATCTCTCAATATGCTATTTTTAATTTCTGCATATATTATAAAACAGAGAATTCTGTATTTCAAGAATATTTAGCAATGTATTTTACTTCATATATTTTCACAGATGTTTAAAAGAGAAACTTCTACTACAGGTTTCAATAAAAGAAAATATTTATTCAAATGTTATTGTTAAGTGTCGTAGAGTCAATTCGGACTCATAGTGACCCTGTATAGGGTTTCCGAAGAGCAGCTGGTGGGTTAGAACTGCTAACCTTGTGTTTCGCAGTCCAGTGCTGATCCTACAGCGCCACACCAGGAGTCCTATTCAAACATAGAGGTTTCAAATAAATTCAAGCATTTAATATTTAACACTATGACTTAAATAGGCAAACCGCTACCTAAATGATCTCTTTTCATTCACTGTGTCCCGAACTTGCATGTTAGGAATCTGAAGAGGTTCCATATCTCATCCTTATGGGCTCCAAGGCCATCCAGGGTTCTCTCACTGCGGCCCTCTACTTCTGCAGGGTGAGGAGCCTTCTCAAAGACAGCACAATATTGGCCTCACCTCTACCCAGACAACCAAAGTCCAACTATAACACGAGAATTGATTTTACATATGACAGAAACTAACACTCACCTTTTATTCAATTTGGAAATAATTCCTAAATGCCTATCATGTGGCAGGCACTGTCTCTGAAAGGGTCTAAACAATAGTGACTAAAGAGCTGTGAACACAAAATACAATCTCTTTATTAAAAAGTCACTCCAGTACACAAAGGAAGTCTAAATTAAATATATTCAAATAAATTATTCAAATCATTTTTAGTGAGTGTTAGCTACCAACAAATCCTGTGCTAGTTGCTGTTGTTAAGTACCACTGTGTGAGTTTCGACTCATAGCAACCCTGTATATGATTTCTGAGAAGCGCTGGTGAGTTTGAACTGCCGACTGCGCAGTTCAAACCAACCTTATGGTTGAGTGCTTATTCTGTATCTCTTCATATTTCTCAATCATAAAATTCTAGAATTCTAAATTTGTACCTGAGAGACCATCTACTCCAACTTTCTCCAGGGAGGTCACAAGGATGGAAGGAAAAGCGACTTAACCACAGTTAAACAATGACATGGAGTCAGAGCCCAGCCCAGAGGCCCAATTCCTGGTCCAGTACTTACCTATTCTTTCCACTCCACCATTAAAGTAGGCACTCAATAAATATTTTCTGAACATGTTTAAAAACAGCACTCCAATGTTATAAATGTAACTCACCTTCCCTCTAAGATGGGTAAAATATGTGTACACTGGTATCCAGATGAAATGATAAGCCCACTGGAACTCAAGCTCTTTGGCTTATTGTGGTAAAAGCTGAAGAGACTGTCTATTCCATAGGCAACCTTTGGAATCCCGTAGCACTCAAAAAGAAGTTCGGACATCATTTGCCGTGAATACAGTGGGTTGCAAACAGCTTCTGTCAAAACTATGGGATGATTAACACAGCCCTACTTTGAAAGAAAAGGGCAACCAGATAAGAGATAACAGAATAATATATTTTTTAAAAGCATAAAAGAAACCAAAATCCTTACTATAGTGCTGAATTTGCTTTAGGTCTTCTATCAAACACTTGATCAGAGGTAATTCTAAAACATTCATATTAGCTCTCTTGAAGGAAGTTTTGGAAAATATTAAAGGAAAGTCAAACAATTTGTTATTAAGTCAAGCCCATCCCAAACTATCAGCAAATTATGATGGCTCAAATCTTCAAAATATCTCTAGAATCCAACTGCTTCTTACCACATCCCCTGCTACTGCTCACTTCTAAGCCACCATCACCCCCTCACCTGGATCACTGCAAGAGCCGTCTACCTGTTCCGTTCCATCCTAAATCCCAGAACTGTTCAGGTAGCAGTCATGCTGCTATTGTTTTGAATGCCAGAGTCCATTTTGACTCATAATGACTCCATGTGACAGAAAAGAACTGCCCCATGAGGTTTTCTAGGCTGTAATCTTCATGGAGTTCTGGTGTGGCACTGTAGGATAAGCACTGGACCACAAGGTTGGTTTGAACCAAAACGTCTGCAGTTCACTCACCAGCTGCTCCTAGGAAATCCTATACAAGGTCTCTATGAATCTGAACTGACCCGATGACACTTAAAAACAATGACAAATCTTTATTTGTTGTATACGGTGCTGTAGGATGAGCACAGGACCACAAGGTTGGCAGTTCAAATCCGCTAGCCATTCCTCAGAAACACTATGTTGTTGTTGTGAAGTGCCATCACTATACAGGGTCGCTATAAATTGGAACTGACTTGACTGCACTTAACAACAATAACCTTTGATGACTAGGTCTTTCTCCCACAGAGCCACTAGGTGGGCTCCAACAGCCTATCTTTTGGTTAGCAGCCTAGCATCTAACCTTTGGTTCAGGACTTCTTTGTGGCGGCCACTGTGAATCTTTTAAAACATAAATCATGTCTCTCCTCAGCTCAACATCCTGCAATAGCTTCCCATTTCACTTAGCATAAAAGCCTACAAAGTGAGCAATTCATCTCCTGGCTATTTCTCTAGCCTCCCTTCCACTTAGTACTACTCCCTCCTCACACTGCTATTGTTATTATCAAGTTGGCTCTGACTCATGACGACCTCATGTGTCAACAGAACAAAACACTATCTAGTCCTGTACCACCTTCATGATCATCTTTGATACATTTGAGCCCATTGTTGGGGCTACTGTGTTCAGACATCTCACCAAGTTTTCCTTAATTTTCACTGGTCCTCTACTTTACCAAACATGATGTTCTTTTTTAAGAAATTGTCACACTCCTGCCTCAGGACCTTTGCACTGGTTATTCTCTCTGGAACACTATTTCCTCAGATATCCACCTGGCTTGCTCCCTCAGTCACCTCCCTCAAGTCCTTGCTTAAACATCAACTTTTCCAGGAGACCTACACTGACCATTTAATAAAAAAATGCTACCTGCTCCTATCCTTTTATCATGACATAAAGCTTACTTCTTAGTTCTATTGTTTATTTTCTGTTTCCTTTCTTAATGTAATTCCATACAAGCACCATAATCACAGGAATTTCTGTCATCTTCACAGTTGTATTCCAACTGCCTTGAAAAGTGCCTGGCACTCAATAAATGATGTTAATAATTTAATATAAAAACAAGCCTATATCCCAAATGTGTACTCTAAGTGAAAAGTGTGCTTAGCACAGCCCTACACTTTGTTGTTGTTTTGTTGAATGCCATTGAGTTGGTCCCACTCACAGTGACCCTGTATAGGATTTCTAAGAAGCTAAGGGTTTAAATCACCGACCTTGTAGTTAACAGTGAAGTGATTATCCTACAGCGCCACACCAGGACTCCCTACACACATTGTTATTGTTAAGTATCATCAAGTCGGATCTGACTCACAGCAACCCTGTATAGGGTTTCTGAGGAGCGGATGGTGAGCTTGAGCCGTCCATCTTGAGGTTTAAACAGATTTTGCAGTTCAGCGCATTCCACAGAGCAATTCCAACTCATAGCAACTCTATATAGGGTTTCTGAGGCTAAATCTTTATGGGAGTTGTTGTTATGTGCCGAGGAGTCGCTTCCGACTCTTGGTGACCCTGTACTGGGTTTCCGAGGCTGTAAATCTTTATAGGAGCAGACAGCCTCATCTTCTTCCCGCGGAAAAGCTGGTAGTTTCGAACTGCTGACCTTGAGGTTTGCAGCCCAATTCGTAACCACTACGCTACCAGAGCTCCTTTTATGGGAGTAGATGGCCTTATTTTTCTCTTGGAGCAACTGGTGGGTTTGAACCGCTTATCTTGTGGTTAGCAGTCCAGTGCTTATCTAAGACATGAATGAATTAAATCTTTTCAGGCTAACATTTTTAAAAGCAAACAAACGCCTACACTCTTTGCATTTAGTGATGACCAATTGAATGAATGACAAAGGCACTCACAGCCACTAGTGAGGCTGTTAGTTCTCAGAAAAAGAGGAATGCTCCAGGACGACACCTCATCCCTCCCGTCAACGCACCCCGTCCCCGCCTTTCACCTGGGAGGAAACACCCAGGTGCTGGAAACTGTAGTCAAGCAACAGCTCCTGCAGCTCCAGGTTAACAGGCACGTTGCGGTCGAAGGGCGAGCGCAGCATCCAGCGAAGCGGCTCCAGGCTGCCCAGGGCATTGCCCACCTGCGGGCCCGGCCCGCCACGGGCCGCACCACGACCGCGGGCGCACACCGCACGGAACTGCAGGCGCGGCTCTGGCCCAGGATCCGGCCCAGGGCACGCCCAGCCGGCACGGGCCTGGAATGATCCATTGTCCAGCACCAAAGGCACAGGTAGTGGCCCGTATGCCACCGGACCGGTCTCCAATACCGGATCAGGCGCCGAGCGAGCGTCGCGGAACGGGAAAACGTTAGCCGCCAATCCGGCCCTACTAGCCGCCGCCATATTGGCGTGCGCACGTCTGGCCCCGCTCCTTTACCTCAGAATCTCTTTTGAGGCACGAAGCCCCGCCCCCAAACGTAATGCCGTGCGACTAAGGTCCTACGGCTCCTTCCCTCTCTAAACCCGCCAACTCTGCAGCTGACTCGTTCTTGGGTCGGGGCCGGTAGGTGTCGCTCATCCTGCTCTAGCCAGGACTCCGAAGCAGGAAACCCAGCCTCCAATGCGTAACTCCACGCAGTCCCACCCCTTCCTGGTTTCCAGAACCCGGCACTATTCGCCTCTTTTTTCCACCTAACCACGCCCACGTTTCGCCTAACTCACCTTCAAAGGCTCTAGGCCTGGCTCACGCACCTAGTTTAACTATCTGCCTAAACGTACAGCTCCGCCCCTTTTGGCTCCGCCCTCGGGCTGTCAGAAAAACTCAAAATTCTGAGATCCTGATGTGTTCCATTTTTTTACTTTTGAGCTCGATTACACAAGTGTGCTCACTCTGAAAAGTTTGGAAGCTGTCCATTTGTGATGTGCACCTTTATGTATGCATATTACTTTATAATATGACGTTTTAATCCGTTGACATTCTGTGTAATTATCCACTGTTGTTGTTGTTAGGTGCCATCGAGTCGGTACTGACTCATAGCCACCCTATGCTCAACAGAACGAAACACTGCCCGATCCTGGGCCAACCTCACAATTGTTGCCACGCTTGAGCCCATTGATGCTGTCACTTTAATAATCCATCTCGCTGTGGGGGCTTCCTCTTTTTCTCTGACCCTCCTTCTCCAGCGACTGGTTCCTCCTGACAATATGTCCAATGTATGAGAGACGAAGTTCAGCCATCTGGCCTCCAAGGAACACTCTGGCTGCACTTCTTCCAACACAGATATGTTCTTTTGGCAGCCCATGGTACTTTCAATATTCTCCTCCAACACCATTAATTCAAAAGCATCAATTCTTCTACCGTCTTCCTTATTCACTGCCCAGCTTTCTCATGCATATGAGGTTATTGAAAACACCATGGCTTGGATCAGGCGCACCTTAGTCCTCAAGCTGACATCTTTGCTCTTCAACACTTTAAAAAGGTCTTGTGCAGCAGATTTGCCTAATGTAATATGTCATTTGATTTCTTGACTGCTGCTTCCATGACTGTTGATGGTTGATCCAAGAATAATGAAGTCCTTGACAACTTCAATCTTTTCACCGTTAATAAGAATGTTCTTGATGTCATACAACAACACTTCTGGTCTTCGGTCTTTAGTGTTTAATACATCAAATCTGTGCTTCAGATGATCTCTAAATTCAGGTAGGATATACTCAATTCATATTTTGGCTCTCATAGACTTGTTTTCATTTTCTTCAGCTTCAGTCTGAATTTTCATATGAGCAATTGATGTTCTCTTCCACAATCTGCCCCTGGCCTTGTTTTGGCTTTCCCATCATCTCTTTTCATAGATGTAGTCAATTTGATTTCTGTGTATTCCATCTGGTGAGGTCCATGTATATAATCATCTGTTATGCTGTCTAAAGAAGGTATTTGAAATGAACAAATCATTGGTTTTTCAGAATTCTATCATGTGTTCTCCAGCATCATTTCTATCACCAAGGCCTTATTTTCCAACTACTGATCCATCCTCTTTGATCCCAACCTTTGCATTCCAATCACCACTAATGATCAATACATCTTGATTGCCTGTTTGATCAATTTCAGATTGAAGAAGTTGGTAGAGTTCTTCTATTTCACCCTTAGTGGCTTTAGTGATTGGTATGTAAATCATAGGTATGAATTCATTGCTGTCATTATGTTTCTTTTTTTTGTGGTGCTTCTGGTTTCTTTGTTCTGCATGCCTTCTTGTGCTGTGTTCATATTTTTTGTGTTCTTTCATGGCAGTTTCTTTATAGTTTTAATGTTTCCATGTTCTTCTTGGATTTTAATTTTCTTGTTATGTTATGAAGTATTAATTTCCTTTGAGGTTACCTTATATTCTATTAACTTTTCCCTCCATTTAAAACAGTCTATTTTATCCTGTAGTCTACCTGACCTCCTTACCACCTGGATCTTTTTTCTTATGTTTTTACCTTCTTTCACATTGTAATTGTTTGTATCATAGACTGACCTCCCAGATCCTCTGAATTCATTCTGATAGTTTTGTTCTGTTCTGGACTCTTCCATTGTCTATTGAGTTCAAGGTGGTGTTGCCATCTATGTCAATCTCTGGTTATTGTCTATTCTTGTTGATTCTTGGTCCAAAGAAGTCCCTTTAGGATGTTTTGAAGCACAGGGTTGGCTTTGGCAAAATCCCTTAGCTTCTGTTTATCCTGGAATGTTTTTATTACTCCCTCATATTTGACTGATAGCTTTGCTGGGTAAATGATTCTTGGTTGGCAGTTTATTTTTCTTTCAGGCTTTTATATATGTCTCCCTATTGCCTTCTTGCCTGCATGGTTTCTGCTGAGAGATCAGAGCTTAATCTGATTTGCTTGCCTTGGTATGTAACACTTCTCTTTTCCCTAGCTGCTTTCAGGATTCTCTCCTTCTCTTTGATTTTGAAGAACTTGATTATTATATATATGTCTTGGTGATTTTCTTTTGGGGTCTATCCTCTCTGGGGTTCGTTGAGCTTTTTGAATGCTTATCTTTTCATTTTTCAGGATGTTAGGAAAATTTTCTTTCAGTAACTCTTCAACTATCGCCTCTGTGGACTTGTGATACATTATGACGTTTTAAAAGTATACGTATCAACTACCACACTGTGCCTTCCCTGAGACCTCAAGACAAAACAACAACAACAACAAAAAAAACCCTCACCAGACACATAAAACAAAACAGCTGATCTCAAAGTGGATTCTGACTCATATTTACCCTATGTGTGCCATTTTTTGGAAGTAGATGGCCAGGCCTTTCTTCTGAGGCACCTCTGGGTGAATTCCAGCTGTCAATCTTTCAGTTTGCAGTTAAGCACTTTTTTGCACCCCCCAGGGACTCTCACTGAGACCTCAGACATTGATAGTTGTCCCCTAGTATGTATATTCTTCTTTGTAGAGGTAGAACTCTCTGGTCATCTAGGTGGATGAGATCATGTAACTAAATTATAGCCAATGGGGGAACTGGAGGTGATGTGACCCACTCCCACTTTTAGCCATAAAAAGATTTGACACACTTCCCCTCCCCCCATTTCCCCTTTTCCACTAGCTGAGGAGATAACAAGAGTTAGAGTGACTACCTTAGATCTACCCTACAGGTGATTGAACTTTGAGAGCTGACAGCAAATCATTTGTAAAAGGTGGCTCTGAATACATAACCTCAGCAAGAGATGAGACCCCAAAACTTTCTCAAGAGCCTTCAATTGTAGGACCCTAAGAAGAAAACTCCATTTTCTACTTAGGCTAAAGCACGTCTCCCTGTTTCAGGAATGTGCCTGGTCAGTTAGTACCAGACGGAGATGACCCCCTTCCCCTATAAGCCATAAAAGTAGAGATAAACTCTCCTGACAAACCCAAGGCTAGATAATGTATGTCTTCCTTACCCTAATTAAACTGTCCTAGCATAACAAACGTCTTCCTTACCCTAATGAAGCTATCCTAGCTATAGGTAGTGGCCAATCGAATTGTGTAATCTTGTACCTTACTAAATGTAAACCAATCCTAGAGAAGTTAGGTAGAAGACCCCCAAATCTGTTTGTAAAAATCTATAAAAACCCGGCTACCAGAGAGCTCGGGGCTCTATCCCTATTCTGCTGCTCCGGTTAAGGTTAGAGACCTGGCTCGAGCTTGAATAAAACAACCTTTGTGCACTTGCATTGGCTTCTGCTTCGACTCCTCGGGTGGTTTTTGGGAACCCTGAACACTGGGCATAACACAATAAAGACCAAAAAGCATCACAATCATCTCCCTGTGCCTTTAGGAAGACTTGATTCTAGCCATCCTTTTTGTAAATGACAAATTCTTAGTAACTCTGGGTTTGATACTGAGACATGGTTCTGACTCTTCATATCCTGGGGCCAAGAGTCTTATTCTTGTCTTCTGTAATTAAAGTGAAGCTTTAGGTTGCTGAGAACAATAAGTCTCTCCCAGGCAAGTGCTCATGTGATCATTACTCAAGTTTTCAATTCTCTCTTGGCTGCTAGCATGTTAAGCACTTTGTTTTTTTAAAAAGCTCTCTGCCTTTAAGAGAGTGTCAAAATGTACCCAGTGTTTTTAGATATTAGTAACAAACTGCCTTCCAGGTGGTCTGTTCTGCAGTATTACTGGAATCACAAGTTTGTAGTTCACACTATAGTTTGGTTTTGGTTGTTCCCCATGCCCATCAGTTTAATTTCTGAGGGGCCTGTCACTTCTATACTTGTGGATCTGCCTGGAGGTAAATTGATCCCACATAATCAATACATTCAAGTGCCCATGATTCTTGCTTCTTCTACCTTCTTACTGAGTTGCTCCTACAGGTATTCAGGCATTCCTCTTCCTGCCAAAGAACTCTTTGGTATCATTGGAAGTTCTCAAGAGACCTCCCAGATGTACTCACTAACTATACTGTGGCCCTCTTTGCCTACTCTCACTGAGCTTTCCATGAGGGCACCAGAACTTCAAGGTTCCATGTAGCATCTCACCTGTCTGTTGCATATTAGAGAAAATGTTGTTATGGATTGAATTGCATCCCTCCTCCCCTCCCCCAAATACTGTATATTGTATATTGTACTAGTCACTCCTCAGAAACCCTGTACAGGGCCACTGTGGGTCAGGATCAATTCAATGGCACTTAACAACAACAACAGTACCTATGGAGGAGTCCTGGTGTGGCGCTATAGGATAAGCACTGGACTGCTAACCGCAAAGTTGATCATTCAAACCCACCAATTGCTCCTCAGAAACTCTATACAGGGAACCAAGTAGATGGTGCTTAACAAAAACATACCTGTGGTTACAATCTCCTTTGGCAGGGGATTTTCTTTGTTAGGTTAATGAGACAGTGCTAGTGTAGGCTGTGTTATAAATCAATCTCTTTTGAGATG